ACGGCTCAGGGACTCACCTCATGCAGCCTGCACCCAGGACGGAGTGGTACCACAGGAACATTACCTGTGCCTCCTGAGAGCAATGTTAGATTGCCCAGCCAGTGTGGGGTGGTGGGGTAACCAGGTAACCCTGGACACTGCCATGGCCACGTTAGTCTCAGATGCGCCCCTCAAGGGGTAGAAGTCCCATGGTCATGGACTCCCTTTTTGATTCACAAAGAGGCAGAGGTTTACTGTAGGCAGCCCTGTGGTTGGAAGGACCTAGGGCTAGTACAGGGCAGGAGTGGGTAACCCTCATGGCCTATTCCTGCAGTCTTGGGCATGAGCCCTGGCCAGCCTGCCTGGCACCCTTGAGCTCTGACAGAACAGGGCCTAGGCTCCCAGGGCAGATGGACCCACAAAAGGAGCTGTATCCCCAGCCCATCCACACCCAAGATTCACGATACATGGCCTTCTTACTAAGCCCATTGGGATTTCCAAGAGACATACCCTATCAGAGACACTTGCTATAAAGTATTTACCTACAAAAAAGGAGTGATTAATCAGCTTTGTCAGTGCTAAAGCCTGAGTTGTACTGAGACTGAGAGATAGGAAGGATCAGAAGACCCTAATCCACAGAGCAGACTGAAACCCCAGGGGTGTCACACCCCATGTTCCCTAGCTGCTCCAGCCATCAGACCCAGCCTGGAGAAGGCCTCAACCCCAGTGCCTGGTACATATGTGAACAGCTAGCATATGAAAGACCAGGCTAGGTCACCTATACCTCAGACTTCTCCCTTCTCTTCCACTGTTCCCAAAAGAAAGTATCTGGCTAGTTTTGCAAGTCAAGACAATTCACATATACATGGACTTAAGAAGCTCTCTCTGGTATGCCGATTTCTAGTCAACCCAGATGTTTCTAACAACCTCAGAAACCAGTGGTCACCCTGATGCTGGACAGTAGTATTCTATGCTGCTGAAAATTAATACCTTCCTTAGCGCTCATCGTTGAACACCTGTCAGCCAGGTACTGTCTCTACGTTCTCTAGCGTTCAAACAGCCACTAGTGCAAGGGCTGCCATTTATAGATGGTAAGATGTGTCTTCCAGAAGTGGACCTGTCAGACTTGGGCCCAGTGTCCAGCAACAACACAGAGCCAGCAGCCACTTCTGAGGTCATAGATCAAGTGGCAGAGCAGAGGCTACCCACTCCACACCACCCTGCACTGCTCTTCACTCAGGCCTGGTCCCAGCGCTGGGACATGCTAAAGGAAACTGATCCCAGCTCCTGGAGCTTGTACTTGGGCTTTAAAAGATGGGGTGTACCAAATGAAAAACTGCAGAGCAAGGCAGCTGGTCATGTGGCTGTGTGGAGGGTACGTATGTTCAAACAAAGGCACAAGAGGCTGACAGCCCCTTGAGCAAGCACTAGGGAAGGGAAGGCTATCAGGCCCTGGGGGACAATACTGGAGATGCTCTATGCTTAGAAAACCAAAAAGAATTTGTCAAGGATTCTAAGGGTGAACACTGGTGTCAGGCATCATATTAAGTTTTTATAAATCTAAGCAGATGTAGCTTCATATGCATTGTAAATGCACATCCATTACAATTTTTATTGGTAGAAAAACAAACATGATGTATCACACCAACTTTATGCCTCAGAAAGGATTAATCCACAATTCAAAATGTTGATGGAATCTGCCAATAAAATTAAGTAGTCTTTATCAGTGACTGAGGATTTTCACTCCTAGCATGGATGGGTCTGTCTTTCCTACAATTTATCCTTCCATAGGTTCTGCTGTACTAATTTCAGTCTGCCAAAATGAATTATAACTTTATGGGACACTTGTGTCACTCAGTCGGTGGAGTGTCCGGCTCTTGATCTCAAGGTCTATGGGTTTGAGCCCTGCATCAGGCGCTGTGCTGACAGTGCACAGCCTGCCTGGATTCTCTCTCTCTGCCTCTCCCCTGAACATTTGCACGTGCACACACACTCACATTCTCTCTCACAAAATTATTTATTTAGTGTTTATCATTAAAAAAATGAACTATAACTTTAGGCTTCATAAATAAGAGAAAGAGATTAAATTGAAGAGGATCTGTAACTGTCTTAGAGATTTGTCTTGGACAAAAATGAAACTCTTCCTAAAAAAATCAAAGTCCCTATTTTTTTTTTTTTAGTGGAATAGTACAAAAATAGGAAATAGATAATCCTCCACTATTTCCTAAGTTAAAGAAAAAGAGCTCATAACAAGTAGGTCTTAAACAAGTGCTTCTGAACAGTGCAAACCCAGCAAAGACAAAGCCAGTGTGGTAGAAGGTATGGCTACCCAATCTGTTTGCACATCTCTGGACTACACTTCTGGTCATGACTTTGCAGTTCCCTCCTCTGCAGCAGTTTGACTCAGAACCCTTTTTCATTCACTAATTTTTATCCAGGTTCTATCTATCAATTGTTACCATGTTGGAAATTAAAACTAAAAAGTTTTAAAATATTCATTCATTTTAAAAGAAAACAAACCCGGAACTGGAGAGTGTTATGCTAAGTGAAATAAGCCATACAGAGAAAGATACCATATGTTTTAATTCTTATGTGGATCCTGAGAAACTTAACAGAAACCCATGGGGGAGGGGAAGGGAAAAAAAAAAAAAAAA